TATATATAATATATACATATTATATATATAAAAACAGAATATTAAGCAGCCTTACAAAGATGGAACTGCTGCCATTTGTGACAGCATGATGGAACCCAGAGGACATAATGCCAGGTGAAACAAGCCAGTCAGAAGGACAAACGCTGCGCGATTCCACTTAGATGAGGCATCTAAACTAGTCAGACTCATAGAAGCAGAGAAGACAGAAGTGGTTGCCAGGCCTGGGAGGCGGGCAGAGGTGCAGTTGTTCACTGGATACACAGCTCCAGTTATGCTAATGAGTAAGTTCTGAAGATCTGCTGTGCAGCGCAGTGCCTGAGTAACCAGCACCCTTTCAGATGGTATCGCGAACTCCCAGATCAAGTTCTTTCTAAGAGCGAATCTCCATTGCTTAAAGAAGAGGACTTCTTGGTGCACTTGAACGCTGGGTTCAAATGAGAAATCCAAGGAGGGGAGCAGCTGCACATGTTCCCTCCACAATGAGGCAGCACCCGCAGAGTTGTGCTCCGGGGGCAGCTGAAAAGAGAAGGGAAAGAGGAACCTCAGGGAAAGAGGAGGCGCTGTCTTTCTTTAAGATGGAGTGTAACTGGAAGCAGCCTCCAGCCAAGGTCAGGGTCAAGAGTAATAGAATCCTGGCAAAATATGCTAGTTTATCTTCCCCCAATGAACTCCTGCCAAACAATATACACAGTGTCGCACAGCGCCGGAGAGCGTCTGATGCATCTCCAGAGTATTTATGAGGACTTCTGTTTTGAAGATAGTTTCTTAGGTAACAGAGCGAAACATGTATGGATGAGCTCTCATTTATCAGTGCCGTGGCTTCCTGTAAAAATTAAACAGCACGGATTGTGACATTTTCTCCTGAGCAAAGCAAGTTCTTCAAAAGGACAGATGGGATGGGGGTCCTTTGAAGATGGTCTGTGTTTGACCAACTCAGCCAAAGGCCCGGCATCGGCATGAGTTACTTGGATGTCCTGGCCCGAGGTTCCTAAGAGACAAGGGGCAATGGCAGCTGTCGGCCTGGGTGAAGCTGGCGCAGGGAGCCCCCTGGCTGGGGAGTGAGCACTGTTTTCCTTTGCTTATTCCAGTCACCTTCGGATGTCCCTGTGTTTCTCAAACTTCCGTCAGCCTCTCTGATGGCTGGGAGCTGTTAGGCTAGAAATTCTAGATGACAGTTAGGCTAGAAATCATTTACTTTTTAAAACAATCCCTCAAGTTCTGTAACATGAGCTGGTGCCATGTCTCCAGAGACCGATTTTGGTCAGCAGGCAGTGATGGGGAGATTACCTCGGACCAGAGGGGAGTGCGTGCTGATTCGAGGGCAGTCCAGAACACAGGGGACTCTGACATGGGCAAACGGGAGGCAGAGCCAGGATGTGCCAAAGCAGGCACTCCCTGGGTGACTGAAATGTTCAATACAACAAAATGTTTTCTCTTCTATTGAGATGCTCCCTCCTCAACATCCTCTGTTTTAATGTTTAAGAGCATATATTTTTATTATAAAATATCTTTCACTGAGATCATGGAATTAGAGTAGAAAGACTACCTCATAAAGATACTGAAATCCAATCTAATTCCAAAATGTAGAGAGTATAGTTAAATTTTAGACTGTTATTTTTCAGGTTTTTTTAAAGAAATATATGCTCTAGACAAAGAAACAGAATGTATAAATGGTGTTATGAAATAATTGCTCATAACCCCACTAACCAGATATAAAAATTGTTACTGTTTTCCTATGTGCCATTTTGGTCTAACACAAACATCGCTCTTGATGAAACACTTTAAATAGAATCGTGCATAATTCTTTTGTCTCTGCCTTTTTCATTAGTCGCATCCTTAAATTTTTTGAAAATATAATCCTTAAATCCAGTGTTGAGACCTTGTAATATTGCTGGTACCCATGAAACCAGCAGATAAATACACAGCTTTGATGCTCCTGACCTAGTCAGTCAAGTGGTAATTCCCAGAGATTTGGTGGCCATTCTGAAAATGTAGGAAATGAGTCTTAGTACAATTAAAAGATTTTTCTCTGGACAGAAGATCCAAAGGCCAGGGGGGCAAATCAACAGCTCACTTCTGTCCAAGCTTAGACCAAGCTCTGCTTAGGCACCTTTGTAAATGGTCCACAAGGCAAATGCTGTGCCCAACACTCGGGCAGTGTCACTCTTGTATATTGAACCAACAGGCCAGGTAAAGCGCCTTGACATGGAAAAAGAGGAGAGAGTGCAGATAGGTTTGAGATTCAGTGACGGATTTAGCTCCTTGATTCTGTCACCATGCTCTGGGCTTAGCGTTTCTACCTGCTCCGACATTCTGAGTCAGGCTGTGAGGGACGTGCTCACTGAGAGAAAGTCCACATTTGGAAGCCATTTGCTTTTACAAAATGTTTACTGTTCCAGCTCCTGACAGTTATTGTTACTAGAGTCACTCCTGACAGAGTACAGAAAGAAGAGGCTGTCAGAGAACCGACATGTGGAAATGTATGCATATGAGGGGGCAGAGACAGAAAACAAAGGCGAATCTGCCACTGGTGTTCTTTTACCTATTCAGATATATTAGCTTTCTCATCACATCCCATAATTTGAGAGTTTTAAAGAGAAGCATCCTTGGTCAGTATTCTGTTTCCCCAATGAAGATAACAATTTAAAAAAAAAACTTTTGTGGATAATTCTCCAACTATAACATTTCCAGTTGCCAGAAATAATCCTCAAATGATGATTGCTTTGCAGATTGTCCGTGATGTGTGTATCTTATGGAATTATCTGGTGAAAGGATCGGTGTGAGTAATAAGAACTAAGCTAACCCTCGGGGCGTTCCAAGGTAGGTGAGCCACCTCATCATGTATCCACGGGTGACCATTTATTTGCATTTGTAGAATCAGGGCAAGCAGACCCACTTGCATAAGCCTCTGTTGTTCTT